TCTATCTACCTATGCATCTATCTATCTATCTATCTATCTATCTATCTATCTATCTATCTATATATGCATCTATCTATTTTATCTCTCTCTCTCTCTCTCTCTCTCTCTATCTATCTATCATCTATCATCTATCTATCTATCATCTATCTATCTATCTATCTATCTATCTATCTATCTATCTATCTATCTATCTATATCTATGCATCTATCTATCTATCTATCTATCTATCTATCTATCTATCATCTATCTATGCATCTGTCTGTCTGTCTATCTGTCTGTCTGTCTATCTATGCATCTATCTATCTATCTATCTATCTATCCGTCTCTGTCTGTCTGTCTGTCTGTCTGTCTGTCTGTCTGTCTAGCTATCTATGCATCTATCTATCTATCTATCTATCTATCTATCTATCTATCTATCTATCTATCTATCTATCTATCTATCAGCCTCCCTGTGGTCATGAGATAAAAAATGGGACACTTGGCAACTGCCACGTATAACAAAATTTGGAAGGGACCCAGGAGTTTTTCTAGCCTAACTCCATGCTCAGAATGCCTATACCCTAGGCCCTTTCAGGAAAAATCAAGCGGGCAAACTACATTCGCTTAATGACTGTGTGATTCACTTAACAATGGCAGTGATTTGCTTAACAGATAGGGTAAAAGTTGCACAATTGGGCCAAACTCGCTTAACAACTGCCTGGCTTAGCAATGGAAATCGTGGGTTCTATAGTCATCATAAGTCAAGGACTAATCATAATATTATTATCATGAACTAATAATGAAAATATTCAATGTATTTCAGACCAAGTACAGAAATGAAGTTAATTTTATGCCTCTCAATAACAAGTTGGCACTGCGAAGCTTCAAAGCGTTGGAAGAAAATGTCCCCCACTGGTTCAGTTCCAAGATGGGAGATTAGAAAGAAAGGTTTATTGATGAAGCAGAACCCACATGTGATTCTGGTGCAGCTGACAAAATGAAGTTGAGAGTGGGTGGGTTTTTATACCTTCTTCGGGGCTTTGCACTTGAGCTTCCTGTTCCTGTGCAAGAACATGTATTCTATCTATTGGCTGTTGTCAGATTCCTATGGGGTCATGTAGGGGTCATAGCTGGCTCTATAGGCAAAAGAGGAAATGCAAATCTGTTTGAGCTAATCTGGTCAACCTCTGGCTTATTGTTTACCTGTTCCAAGGTTTCTGCGACTTTGAAGTTTGGACTGCTCTGGGATGGTGCAACGAAGGGGCTGGTGTTCTGAAAGGGTGTCGGACAATTCCTATTGTGCCTAACGGCTAATGTCCTGTGTTGGATCTCGGATGAGGAACTGCTTCTAATCCTACCCTTCTGCCTTTGTTTCAAAATATCCTGTCTTGAACGGACTGCCAAATCTGCATTTCTAAAAGCCGGCCTGCTCAGTTTCTGCTTTGAAGATATTAAAAAAAAAAGAGAGAGATTGGGGCATGCTTTCTGCCTTTAAAAACATGTTTCTCCGTTTCTCCTTTAGGGAAATATAATATTCTGCCTTTTTAATATCTCTCAAAATATTTCATTCTTCTGGAGGGTGGAGAGTAGGTGCTGTTTCTTACCCAAGTTTTAGAACGAATACATGCAGAGTCAGGATATGCGAGCCAGATTAAAACCTCAGAATCACGCCTTGGTGGGCGCAAGGAAATTGATGTGGTTTTATTGTCCAGGAGCGGTTTAACCAGTTAAAGAAAGATCATTCAGCTGGATTAGTCATCAATCATGCAGACGCACACTCAAGTGACAACAAGTATACAACGCGCCCTCGCTTTGTTTATTTTGTAACAACAGCTTATGGTTTCGGGGGTTGTTTGGCACGCTTGTGGCTCGCATTCATTTTCTTTCTAATGGTCTGACTGTTTTGAGGCACGTCCTCTGGTTTCTTCCAATAAACTAAGCCACTCGGTGTCTCTCCGTGACTTTCTCTGCTTGGATTGAACCAACCGTTTTTGGATTAGTGATGAAAGCCGCGGGCTGGGAGACAGTGAATTCTAGTCCTGCCTTAGGCATGAAAGCTGCCTGGGTGACTTTGGATCAACCGTCAGGAGACAGTGAGTTCTAGTCTTTCCTTAACATGAAAGCTTCCTCCCTCCCCTTTCCTATTTCCTATTTCAAGTTCTGCTATCCTGACTGGCAACCTAGTTCCCATCATCCCCGGCCTATAGGCTGCTGAGCGTCCTCGCCCCTCCCAACAGTGCAATTTCTTCTTCCAACTATTTCCCCCTCCCCTTCTCTACTTTTTCCAGGATTAATAAGAGTCCCTGCAAAGACTTTTCCCAGGATCTGTCGATCTAAGAGGGGCCGGTTCCTTCTCTC